TTTGTTATTAAACTGGTAATGTTCAAGAAGTTTAAATGAAAAAATAATCTTTCATGGGGCACTGGGTTCTATTCATTGTTTTGGAATAATATGGAAATGAATACAGGTGATAGTTCCACAAAAATGAGGCATATAACCAATGTTACTGAATTATATATGCACTGAAAGTTCACTTAGCAAATGGTTTGTTAGACGTATATTTAACATAATAAAATGAATCTTTAAAAGTTCCCTATTATTTTAGCTCTGTACTTCAGTTGTTTAATGCTTGAAAAGTAAGATATAAACATCTAATTTTAAAATTATTTATACTTTTTAGAGTGGTAACATTTACAGAGTCCCCGACTTCGTACATTTTTTTCATCTTCATTACAGACAGTTGCCTTTGGACTTCCAAATCACAGCTTATAATATTTCTACAACACAGGGTGAACAGATATCATCAACTTTAGGTCTTTCCTGGTTTCCAAAGATCTATAGATTCTCAAGAGATTATTTCAAATTTTCTAATAATGGATCAGTGCCTCACGTGGAGCACACTCGATTCGGGCCCGGCCAGCCCTAGGTGCCTGCATCACGGAAGCGGGGCTGTTCTGCTGTCAACACGTTCTTGGCCATCGAGCACATGTCCCTACTGCAGTCATATATTGCATGCTGGTTAACTCAGGTTGCACGAGGAGGAAGTGAGTCTTACCGCACAACTAAAAAGCATAATTTAGTCCAGGGCCATATAAGCAGGCCATGCCAAAAAACCTACATAACTTGGTGGGATTGAACTTCATACTGGCACAAGCCAAAGGCCAACACTCAAAAAAAGAAATTTTAATTAACAGGACATCAAGGCATAAGATCACCATTTTTCTACTGTCCGATATGGCTAAAAATAAAGATGTTCAAAATCATATAACTATCTCACCACATTGATTACATTTGAAGATACAATATATCATTAATTTGTGCAGTGATTTTATTTCGATGTCATTTTAATTCAACGGACTCAAAATTTTTATATATAAAATTTTGCCATTTACTTCTACATTTAAACATATGTAGCACTGGACATTCTTATGAATATGTGAACCAGCACTTTGTAATCACACTGTTGAGAATGGACTGTGAGGTCGGTGTATATGTGGACACATGCTGGACGACATCCCACCTAGTTTCTCTGAAAGGCAAGAGCACTACCTACACCGCCTCCTCTGGGATGGACTGTGGGCATCTATGAGAAAAGATGCGTCATTCATAAAGAACAACAAATGCTGGAACCAGGGTTTATTGTCTTCCATAAATAATACCCGTTCCCAAACAAAGTAAGCACAAACATTTATTTGATCATTATTCATTATAAACAGCTTGATCGAGATGTATACAAAGTATACTCTAAGTTATTAAGAATAAAAATAAACAATTACCTATAAGTAAGTGTATAAGTAACCGGAGGGTATCTAAATATAGGAGCCTAAAGGCTTATGGATGGGTTTCCAGTCTAGGGGCATAGATTATGCACTGGACTGCAACCCACAAGGTCAGCAGTTTGAAACCATCAGCTGTTCCATGAGAGACAGGAAGAATTTCTCCTCCTGTGAAGAGTTCGTCTCAGAAACCCACAAGGTCAGTTCAATCCTATGTTGACTATGGGTTACAAGTGACTTGATGGCACTTGGTTGAAGCTCTGGTGGAACACTGAGCTATGCGTTGGTCTGCTAGCCACAAGGACAGTGGTTCAAACACACAAGTTGTTCCTTGAAAAGAAGGTGAGTCTTTTTGTACCTGTAAAGATTTATAATCTCAGAAACCCACAGGGGCAATTCTATTCTTCCCTGTAGGGTCCATAGGAGTGAGCCAATTTATGGAGAGTGAAACACTAAAAACAGGAGGCCACTACCCTCAACTCCAAGGCAAATGAACCACAGTTCATATGTGTACTTTGAAATAAAGAACAATTTGCTATTCGTATAAATCTTCGTATGAAGAAAGTCCAGCTTTTACTATTTATTTTCCTCATTTAAAAATTAATATTCTTATATATCACATAAAAAATGTTATGATACCAAAATAGCTGTCACACCACTGATAACACTTTCATTTGCTAATTTACATATAAAATTTTCATAGATACACAAATACAATTTCAAATCTATACTCATACTTTCGATATAGATCCACATCAAGGAGCTTTGAAAAATTCCATTATCTTTTCATTCCATTTTACAATGTATTTTTTGAAATATATACATATTTTCATTCAAATTATAAGCCTTACTAATATTCCTTAACATTATTCTAAATCAATGATCAGATGTCCTGTAACGAACTGACTAAAGAAAGAATCTGAATATGCAAAAATATACACTTATTTTATCATATTTACAAATTAATTTTATTAAGATGTTTTATTTATAAATCTCAAGAGACTTATAACCTGAAAAGGTTTGAGATTGATTTCTGAAAGGAAGTTCTGTTTTTTATAATTGTAACTCAACATAAAGTACAGATAAATTATGATATAAAATCTAAGCAGTAGGCATTTTCTTCTCAAGAGTAAAAGGTTTGTGAGTATTAACAAGTAGATTTCTAATGATTTCCACACAATACACAGAACATACTTCAGGGAGAACAGCAGAGAATAAAACAGTAATAGTTATGTTTAAAACACAAAACCTAATTTACCATATTTTTTTTCATTGCAGTGTTTTCCTTTATTTTTTAAAAATCATTTTATTGGGGCTCATACAACTCTTATCACAATCCATATATACATCAATTGTGTAAAGCACACTTATACACTTGTTGCCCTCATCATTCTCAAAATTATCTTTCCGCTTGAGTTCCTGGAATCAGCTCCTCATTTTCCTTTTTCCCCTCCCCCTCCCTCCCAGTTCCCCCCTCCCTCATGAAACCTTAATAATTTATAAATTATTATTTTATCTTATCTTACACTGCCCGGCATCTCCCTTCACCCACCCTTCTGTTGCCCATCCCCCAGAGAGGAGGTTGTATGTAGATCCTTGTGATCGATTCCCCCTTTCTACCTCCCCTTCCCTCCCTGTATCGCCACTCTCGCCGCTAGTCCTGAGGGGTTCATCTGTCCTAGATTCCCTGTGTTTCCAGTTCCCATCTGTACCGCTGTGCTTCCTCTGGTCTAACCAGGTTTGCAAGGTAGAATTGGGTTCATGATAGTTGAAGGGAGGAAGTGTTTAAGAACTAGAGGAAGGTTGTGAGTTTCATTATTGCTACACTGAATCCTGAGTGACTCATCTTCTCCCCACGACCCCTCTGCAAGGGATGTCCAGTTGTCTACAGATGGGCATTGGGTCCCCATCACGCACTACCATCATTCACGATAACACACACACACACGCCTTTGGTGCTTGAAACCTGGTCCCTTCGGCCCTTCATTATAACACATGTTGGTGTGCTGCTTCCATGTGGGCTTTGTTGCTTCTGGGCTAGATGGCCAGTTGTTTACTTTCAAGCCTTTAAGTCTCCAGACGCTATAGGTCTCCATAGCCGGGCACCCTCAACCTTCTCCACCACACTTACTTATGCACACATTCATCTTCAGCGTTTATGTGGGGAATAAGCAAATGTGGTGAAGAAAGCTGAGGGTGCCCGGCTATCAAAAGATATAGCATCTGGAGTCTTAAGGGCTTGAAGGCAAACACGCGGCCATCTAGCTCGGAAGCCACAAAGCCCACAGAGAAGAAGCACACAAGCCTGTGTGAACACGAGGCGTTGAAGGGATCAGGTAGCAAACACCAAAGAACAAACACCATCATTGTGTGACCATCTTCCCCACATAATTTACCATATTTTTGTTATTGTTAAACATAGTAAGGAATAATACAAATTCTTCCCCTAAAACAAACTTTTGCTTGAACTTTCTTATATATCCTATATAAGATATTGTAAATTTCTATCACATTATAAATTCCTTTTGAGAAACAAGTGCACCGTTGATGTTTTCTAACTTCATTATCATCTAGAACAGAGACTTTTGACTTGTCGAAAGAATATTAAAAACTTAATATAAGAAATAAAGTTGCACCTCTAAGCAAAGATATAAAACAAACTGAAGAGAAGTAGCCTATTATCCAAAAGAAAATTAGGAAAAAATGCTTTAAAATAACATCTGAGTGCTTTTTAACTACACAAAAAGCAATAAAAGACAGTATCTAATGGAAGGCAATTTTTATATTTGTATAGGTGATCAGCTAAGAAAGAGAAGGGCAAAAAGATGGCTAAGACATATTAAGGTTTCCAATATGACCACAATATTACACTTTAAGCAGAAACATACTATTGGAAGATAATTTGCCCGGGGTCTCTTGTTTCTGCAAGTCCTGCCCACTGGAGGCACTGGCTGCCTATGTTCCCAACAGTGCTTTCAAAAATGTTTTCAGAGAGCAGACTTCAAAAATAACGGTAACATCCTCCATTTGAACAATGGGCATATTTTCTTTCAGTCTTTTAAGGTAGAGAACGTGCCTCCCTCCCTCTACAGCAGGGGTAGGGAACATCCAGCCTACGGGCCTTAAAAACCATCAACAACCAGCTAACATCACACACTTCACCAAAGAGAAGCAGTTCCAGCCATCACATTAGAGGTGAGTTAATTAAATACTTAACCCATATGGCCAAAGAATATTATTAATCTCCAAATGGCCCTTGGCAGAAAAAAAGGCTTCCCAACCTTGCAGGAATGCTTTCTGCCCATTATGAAAGACTCGGGTTCCCTAAACTCAGGCTACCTCTCCAGTAATGTCACTCACTTTACTGTCAATGTAGGAATCACCTGGCGCTCTCCTTGGGCCACACACTGAGAACTGGCTTCAGGGCATGATAGCAAGAAAATTCCAATACTCTTGAGTCCTAAAACCTTTTTCTCCATCTGAGTCTAAGGTTTTATGCGAAGCATCACTGCACATGTGTCAGGCTAATTTGTTAAATGAGAGATAGGGTAGAATCTCTGACCTTTTCCAGTAATTAATACATACCTGTTTTTGTTTTTAGAGGACTGCTGGCATATTCTGAGGCCTGATATGACTGCTGCTTCACCAACGGAGCACTTCCAACAGACACTTGGTCTTCTTTCTTTCTGCTAACAGGCACAACGGGAGGAACAGTGGCCATGGGTGGCTAGAAGGAACCACAATGAAAAGTTGAAGGGAGGTGTGCTTAGGCACTGAGGGTGAACACGGCACTGAGATGAAGCCAGGGCTTTATTATGTTACATCCGTTTCTCCATCTTGCACACACATACAAGCATGTGGACAGGTATCAAATTGAACTTAAAATTATAATTCTGGGTAAAAAACTGATAACTTTTGGATGTACTCACTCAGGTCACATAAGTTTTAGTAAAATAATAAGATAAAACAAGGAAAGGCAAAATAAAAACTGAAATTAATTTTTAAATTATACTTCCTAGCAAATAATGGTATCCAGATAACATTACGGATATATTTCCTAAAACTGATACACATGTCAAACTGGACAGTCCTAAAAATTAAGTGCTAAAAATCTGTATTTTGTTTGACAAAATGATGTGTATAGAGCATTGTTAGACAGCACTGAAAAATATCTAGTTTGAAAAAGCTGGAAAACATTATGGTCCTATATTGAATGCATGAGCACTGAGCTGGACAATAAAGCGGCCGTTTCATCTTTACTCACTGAAATAAAGTCTGATGTTACTGGGGATGACGCCCAATATAATCTTGTCAGATTTTTGGCAAGAAGGAAAAATAAGGTATTTTTAAAGTTTGCTACAGGATCAAAGATCAATGCTGAACTCGGTGGAAAACAATCATCAAAATGCTGGGTTTTAGCCACAAACTGAGAAGGAAATTGCAACTTGGGAACCATCTGATGATCAGTGTAATCCAGCTGTATCAGAAGATGAACAGGGAGGGGGGCGGTCAGGCTGCACTGTCATCTACTGTTATCCTCAACCCAGCATGCAGCACCTCATAGCTCCAGCCTCACCCTCACCCACTGTATAACACTGAGTGTTATTTATATCACGAGTAAGTGTGCTAATGAATTAATCAATACACTGTATGCCTCTGCAATGCCCCAAGCTCTCAAATAGTAGAAGAGATGCAAAGTATTCTAACATTAGTTAGTTATATATTTTTATTGCCTAAACTACATGGATTTCAACTTATTTGACAGTCAGTACTTGATACTGTGACTAATCTTTTCAAGATGGCCTAATATAAAAGTATTGCTAAAAGCAAGAGTTCAGCAAATGTTTTAGCTGTTGCCAAAGGATACTGATATACATCCACAACCATTTAGATCATGTCTCACCAATCTTTATAATCCAAGGGCCATTTGATGTTTGTTGTCTTCTTGCTAACTGTGGCAAAAAGCTATCTAAACAATCTGTATCAATCTTTAAAATAGTCGTCTATTTGGTTTAAATAACTACAAGTTATCAAATTTCCCATGTGAACTAAATCCTCTACTATTTAATTAGAGTAATTATAATGTTTGTTCTTCAGGTGAAAGTATAAAGCTAAACTTGTTCTCAGGGTAATCTAATCCAGGCTATTAATAAACATTAATTACAAGTCCCTGTTTTCCAGATTGTGTAAAGATTCCTGATTATTTAGACTCAACCTTTTTTAAAATTCTGAAACTTGTTTTGGAAATTTAAATACTTGCACAAATCTGACAAGAAAATAGCTCTTTAAGAACAAGATAAGAAATTATCAACATATTTTAATTTTTGATTCATCTAAAGTTAACTGAGCTATAAAATAAGGGGTGAGGCTATTGATTAGAAATCCTGTTTACCAACTAATATTTAGTGACTCCATAATCACTATAATTTCTTTTATAAATCTGGAATAAGACCAAGTACCCTAAAACACCTGGCCGAGTTCAGAGGGAAAATTACTATATAATATGTAATTAGATAAATACTTTGTGCTGTACAGTGTGAAACTGAATTCAAGTACAACTATTGAACGATAGGATCAGTGGAAGCCAAGGTAATGATAATAACCAACAAATGAGAAAGAACCTTTGAATACTTTAAATTCTACATGCAGCTTCACATGATAAAAAACAAAAGCCAATTAAAATCTCGTTTACACACAAGTAAGAACCTTGTATGCCTTGTACACAACTGTAATGTAAATGTAGACAGTGGTTCACAACAGATCCTAGATCCCAACAGATCATTGTTGAAT